ACTGACTTGTCCGCTCTCCAAAAGCCAGACGAACGACTTATACAAAATGCATTCATATGTAAATACAATTTGAGGAAGGTCATGGTCAGCGCTAAAAAACTAATAAAATGTATTATTTTGTCGGTAACAGTCCAAGCAGTAGTGCATAACAATACACTCAATTATGCTGTTATGTATAAACACACATACAAACATAATTGCCTGCAAGGGTCTTACATTCTATTTTTAGCTTTTTCGGTCTTTCAGTCGGGAAAGCGCAATGATACTGAATTCGTATTTGTTCCCAATTTAAAAAAAAATCTAGCTGCAAAGTTGTATTTTGTTGTATGGCGATACCTATCTTAGTGTTTATATTGTCTGTGGTTCATGGAATTCCCAAGTAGAGTTCTTCCTACAAGAGCCTCTTCTCTGTGTTTTTATACCCTTGCAGAGGGTATTATAGTTTTGTCGCGAAATGTGTAACGCATAGAAGGAGACATCTCCGACCCCATAAAGTATATATATATTCTCTATCAGCATCAACAGCTGAGTCGATAAATCCATGTTCCTCTGTCCGTCTGTCTGTTTCTATGGGAACTAGTCTCTCAGTTTTTAAGCTATTTAAAAATAAAACTTTGCAGAAGTCCCTCTTTCTGTTGCACTCAGCACATATGTCAAACCCAAAATTACACATGTATAAGAACTTTAAAGTATGTATGTATGCGTTGTTATTCACAGCTCTGGCTTTAGCTGACAAGAAATTAATTTTGTTAGTTTTGTAGTGCAGATTATGAGCTATCCCAAATTTGTGTTGATAGATGAGTGCATTTTGTGTATTGAGGTTGGCTCCGTAGAAAATATGTATTTCTAAGTCGATGCAAATATTTACATAATTTCTTTAAATTAAATTAATATTATTTTTATTCTCCAATTAAGAAATAAAGAGTGCTAAAAAATACAATTACATATTTATTTGTATAAATAAATATCACTTTTGATTCAATATTTAGTTATATATTTCAATTTAGATTAGTGCGCTTGGGATTGGGGGTAGGTCGTGTTCTGCGCTAAATAAGTAAGAAAATTGTTTCTCTGCCAGCCAGAAACTTTGCCAGAGCTATCCACTGCAACACATTCAAATATGCTGTGTTGTATGTATATTCAAACACATACATACATAATTGCTTGCACTTCCCTCATTATTTCTTTAATTTATTTTATATAACTTAAAAATAATAATAATTTAATTAATAATATCAAATATAAAAAATTACATAAATATTTGCATCGACTTAAAAATACATATTTTTTATAGAGCCAACCTCAGTACACAAAATGCATGTATATATCAACATAAATTTTGGGTAGGTCGTGATTTGCGCTAAAAAAACTAAGAAATTTGTTTTTTTGCCAGCCAGAGACTTTGCCAGAGCAGTGGATAACAACACATTCAAATATGCTGTTATGTATGTATATTCACACGCATACAAATATAATGGCTTGCACAGTCGTCACAGAGCCGAAGCTGAGAGCAAATTCTCTTTTTAGCTTTTTCGATCTCGCGGCTGTGAGAGCGCAATGCTACACATTTCGTTTTCGTTCTCAATTTTCAAAAAGTCAAGCTGCATAGTAGCATTTTGTTGTATGGCGTTATTCATCTTAGTGTTTGTATTGTCTTTGGTTTCACTTTGCTCCTCATATTTATGCAAAATCCTATTAAGATCGGACCACTATATCATATAGCTACCACAGGAACGATCGGTTGAAAACTAAGTTGTTGTATGAACAAACAATTTGTTTTTCAAGATATCTTGACCAAACTCGGCATTTATTAGTTTTTTCATGCTCCTCATATATAGGCAAAATACTATTAAGATCGGCCACCAATATCATATAGCTGCCATAGGAACGATCGGTCGAAAATTAAGTTGTATAAAAAAACATTTTGGTTCTCAAGATATCTTTTCTAAACTCGGCATTTACTAGTTTTACTATACTCCTCATATATAGGCAAATTAGTGGCGCCAAGTCACGTTCATACAGACAGTCGGACGTTTTCAACCTTTTAACCATTTTCCCTCGTGCCGTTGTTCAGCGGACTGGCTGCACAGAAGGCATAGTAGAAAAAGGCCAATATTAGATAGTTTTTATTAAAGGGGGTTGGTCCATTGGGACAGTCTTAAGTAAGATTAATATATTTATAAATTTTGTATATAGATAATGAAACTCGCAAGCTTTCTGTATCAGCAGTCTGGTGTGTAAGTTCTCTGTACATCCATTTTGTGTCCGATTATCATTTCTCAAGCTGCTTTCTTCTTATTCTTTTCAAATTTCTTCGTCACTAATGTGAATGTTTCTTTTTCATGCTGGCACTAACTGCAAGGCTCAAATTCAAGAACCGGGCGGTCGTGCGATAGCGAAATGGCGGGGCGTTGCCGTGTTCCTCCAAAATGTTGGGGCTGATTCTGCGATACCCTAAATACAGTGAAAATGGGGAAAAGTTGGTTTTGAATCATAGTTTTGTGTAAATATATGTAACAGTAAGAAGGAAGCACCTCCGATACCATAAAGTATATACATTCTTGGCCAACATTAATAATCAAGTCGATCTCGTTTCAGTATGTTGAAGGTTGTTCAAGCCCTCTCAGTTTGTTTCCGATAGTCGGTAACATCCACAATTCCAAGCAATATATATAAATCTATATTAAATTCCTGTTCTTTATGAATACCTCTTAAGCTTTAAATGCTATGCCACAATACAAAGATATACCAAACAGCCTTTGTATCGGATAACGATAAATCGCAACGAGGGAACCCCAAGGGTGCCTGCGACTATTTTAGTGTGCCCAGACAGAATAAGACTGCTGAGTGTGGCAGCCGCTGAGCGAGTTGCGGTTTTATACTGAACGTTCGGCTCTCGAGGCGGGCGTTCGGCTGCCACTCTCAGCAGTCCTACTCTGTATGGGCACACTAAAATAGTCACAGGTACCATTTAGGTTCCCTCGTTGCGATTTATGGTTATCCGATAACAAGGCTGTATGGTTAGTGGCTATGCTCAACAACCCCGTAAAATCAAACAAATAGAAGTTCCTATTGGAATCACACAATGTAAAACTAAATTTTAAGTCTATTGCCGTTTTAAAAATAGACGATTAGTCAATGCACAATAGGATCTAGTTCAGGAAGATCGAGTAAGAAACACAGCAGCTATAAACAAAACGTGTGGTTATATTGGTTAGCCGCTTGGAGGCCAACGCAAAAGTAGTTTCTGCATGCATGGTGTATTGTATTATAATATCCTTGCAGAGGGTATAATAATTTTGTCGTGAAATCTGTAACGCATAGAATGAGACATCTCCGACCCCATAAAGTATATATATTCTTTATCAGCATCAACAGCCGAGTCAGGTCCCTCTGTCCGTCTGTCTGTTTCTATGGGACCTCGTCTCTCAGATTTTAAGCTATCTTAATGAAACGTTGCAGAAGTCCTTTTTTTGTTGCACGCAGCACATATGTCAAAACCAGCTGGATCGGACCACTATATCATATAGCTGCCATAGGAACGATCGGTCGAAAATTAAGGTTTTTTATGAAAAAGCATTTTGTTCATCAAGATATCTTGACCAAACTCGGCATATACAGCTGTGAAAAAAATAATAGCACCACTACAACACATTTTGTTCTTGATGAAAAAAAAATGCGATTACTGTTCCGATTTTTGTGAAAATTTATTTTATTTTATATTGTTTAGTATTCCCCATAAATAAAAACAGTGTTAGCGTTCTTCAAATTTCTGTCTATATTTTCTTTTTGGGGGATTTTAAGAAAAAACCCAAAGCAGAAAAAATAGCAGCATTAGCCACCTCCTAGCGAATCCTCGTTATATTGCGGAATTGCCTTTGCAGAATGAACGTACTTATTAGTTTTGACTAAGATATAATTTTTTCTATCATAAAAGTTAATAAAAATCATTACGATGGAACGTGGAGTGCACTGCACTGCATAGAAGCACGATCTTATCAAAAAATTGATATTGGACGGAAAAACTTACAGAGATGTTGGTCAATTTGTAGGATACTCCAATAAAATAATTAAAAACGTCATAAACTATCAAAACTAGAGTTTCTAGTCGGGAGCTCCCGACTAGGGGATACCCTGAACCCTCTTTTTCCAAATCAAATGCATATATATTCTATATTAGAAGCTAAATGTCAAGTTCGGTGACTCTAGTTCTTATTATTTACCAAAATTGTCCAAAAAACAGGATATCGATATCGATTTCTATCGATTGCTTGAAAACGGAGTAAAGTATCGATTATCGGAAATAAACTCGATCTGCGCGGGAACTAGGAGCACCTACATCATTTCAAGACAGAATAAGACTGCTGATAGTGGCTGCCGCTGAGCGACTTGCGGCTTCTTACTGAACGTTCGGCTTTCTGGGACGACGTTCGGCTCCCGACTATAACCTCTTGCTTGGTCATATATGTTGTTAAAAGCTATAATGCTATTTTCTCGCCTTCAATTTGCATTCTTTCATTTTTTAATATACTTTTCGGAGTAGTATACTATTTAAATAGAAAATCCCCGAGAATTACTATTTTTATACCCTTGAACCAATTGGTATAAGGGTATATTTTATTTGTGCAGCATCCAAATGTATGTAACAGGCAGAAGGAATTATCTCCGACCCCATAAAGTATATATATTCTTGATCAGCACTAATAGCCGATTCGATCTAACCATGTCTATCTGTCTGTCTGTCTGTCCGTATGTATGAACGCAAGGATTTCAGAACCTATAAGAGCTACAGAAATTTCGATGTAGGTGCTCCTAGTGCCTGCGCAGATCGAGTTTGTTTCCGAGAATCGATAATTCACTCCGTTTCAAAGCAATCGATAAAAATCGATATCGCCATCCTGTTTTTTGGGCAATTTTGGTAAATAATAAGAACTAGAGTCACCAAACTTGACAAATAGCTTCTAAAATAGAATATATATATGCATTTGATGTTGGAAGAAGAGGGTTAAAGGTATCCCCTAGTCGGGAGCTCCCGACTAGAATCTCTTACTTGTTCAATTTGAGTTTCAGGAAAAAGTCGAAAAATGTAGAGTATGTTACCTAAGCCTAAACACTTCGCTGAGTTAAATTCCGCGTTTTCCTGTGTCCGACTTACTTAACTTACCACTTAAGTTTCTTGGAGCACGACTGATTTTGCCACAAAATTTATGGTGCGTGAGATAGAAGGAGGTGATCTTTCATCCAAAGTGTCATGTAAGACATGTTTGATAAGCAAAACACACGTGTTGTACGTGCATTTTCTAATTCATCGGGAAATAGAGCCAGTAAACTTTTCGCGCTAGTTCATTCGGATGTGCGTAGACTTTTTGAGACCAGATCAATAGCGGTAATTGATATTACCTTCACATATTTCATTAAAATGAAAGATGATGTGTTATTTTTTGCATTTAAGCATTTGATGGAGAGTGGTAGACGAGTAACGTGTATTCGTAGCGACAATGAGCGTGAATACGTGAACAACACGTTTGAGGAGTATCTCAATAATAAAGATATAGCACGACAACTGACAATACCGTATTCGCCGCAGCAGAAAGAAGTGGTTGAAAGGGCGAACCGAACATTGGTTGTAATGTCAGGATGCCTGCTTGTACATTCTGCTTTGAAGGAGTCTTTTATAGGCGAAGGCACTATTCAGAGCGGTTAGAAATATGACGCCAATAGAAGTATGGAATGTTAAAGAACCCTCCATTTGTCACTTTAATGTTGGGATAATAACAAAACTATCGGATATGCGAGCAATTAAAAAGTATATCGTTTGTATAATTCAAACTCTGGACAAGTGATCGAGCAGAGGGATGCTCTGTTCGATAAGCAATACAGCAGTGAACTGTACGATACTGGAGCCATTACATTTGATCTTACAACGACGAATATCAACGTCGGAATAAAAAATGACAGCAGCAGCGACAATTTAATGAGTGCACTCAAGGTACCAGGTTTGGGACCAGGTAGACAAAAATTAGTTCGCTATGGAAAGCGAGGACGAACCAAGAAGCAGTACAGTATTCTTGGCGCTTTGGTAAGTACCACGAATACCTACATGCTACGAGTCTATTAGGTGTTCCAAAGGTTCACTTGACAATGAACATAGAATACGACCCTCTGATGTTGAATACAACTATGCGCATTATCAATAAAGATCAGCACTTTGTTAAAGTATCAGGTGTTGATCAAAATTGATCCTTGATTGCACCAGCATAAGAAAGATAGTCGCAATGAATAATAAATGAATACGTGATTTGTTTTGTCGACAAAGCAATGAAAACTGCACGCCTTTGGATGCTGGATACCAAAATGTTTTCATAAATAAGGAGTGTAGCAAAGTGAATGCGTCGCAATACCAATCATTTATGGAGAAACTAATGTGGCTGACGACGATTAGGCCGGACATTTTGCACTCAGTAACAAAATTAACGCAGTGCAATAGGGAACCACATAGCTAACACCTTGCAGGCGTTAAACATGCTCTAAGGTATCTGGCATCAATAACACTTGAAGCTGCACTACAAAGAAAAAATAAATCTTGTATATTGCATGGCTTTCGAGTAGTAGCGTAGCGCGACATACATTTGTATAATTAGTCGCCCATACATTTGAAAGTGACGCAAAATCTCTTGGCTGACTTCTCATCTGGCTTTCCCCACTTAACCAGACATGCCAGCCGACTGACTTGTCCGCTCTCCAAAAGCCAGACGAACGACTTATACAAAATGCATTCATATGTAAATACAATTTGGGGAAGGTCATGGTCAGCGCTAAAAAACTAATAAAATGTATTATTTTGTCGGTAACAGTCCAAGCAGTAGTGCATAACAATACACTCAATTATGCTGTTATGTATAAACACACATACAAACATAATTGCCTGCAAGGGTCTTACATTCTATTTTTGGCTTTTTCGGTCTTTCAGTCGGGAAAGCGCAATGATACTGAATTCGTATTTGTTCCCAATTTAAAAAAAATCTAGCTGCAAAGTTGTATTTTGTTGTATGGCGATACCTATCTTAGTGTTTATATTGTCTGTGGTTCATGGAATTCCCAAGTAGAGTTCTTCCTACAAGAGCCTCTTCTCTGTGTTTTTATACCCTTGCAGAGGGTATTATAATTTTGTCGCGAAATGTGTAACGCATAGAAGGAGACATCTCCGACCCCATAAAGTATATATATATTCTCTATCAGCATCAACAGCTGAGTCGATAAAGCCATGTTCCTCTGTCCGTCTGTCTGTTTCTATGGAAACTAGTCTCTCAGTTTTTAAGCTATTTAAAAATAAAACTTTGCAGAAGTCCCTCTTTCTGTTGCACTCAGCACATATGTCAAACCCAAAATTACACATGTATAAGAACTTTAAAGTATGTATGTATGCGTTGTTATTCACAGCTCTGGCTTTAGCTGACAAGAAATTAATTTTGTTAGTTTTGTAGTGCAGATTATGAGCTATCCCAAATTTGTGTTGATAGATGAGTGCATTTTGTGTATTGAGGTTGGCTCCGTAGAAAATATGTATTTCTAAGTCGATGCAAATATTTACATAATTTCTTTAAATTAAATTAATATTATTTTTATTCTCCAATTAAGAAATAAAAGAGTGCTAAAAAATACAATTACATATTTATTTGTATAAATAAATATCACTTTTGATTCAATATTTAGTTAGATATTTCAATTTAGATTAGTGCGCTTGGGATTGGGGGTAGGTCGTGTTCTGCGCTAAATAAGTAAGAAAATTGTTTCTCCGCCAGCCAGAGACTTTGCCAGAGCTATCCACTGCAACACATTCAAATATGCTGTGTTGTATGTATATTCAAACACATACATACATAATTGCTTGCACTTCCCTCATTATTTCTTTAATTTATTTTATATAACTTAAAAATAATAATAATTTAATTAATAATATCAAATATAAAAAATTACATAAATATTTGCATCGACTTAAAAATACATATTTTGTATAGAGCCAACCTCAGTACACAAAATGCATGTATATATCAACATAAATTTTGGGTAGGTCGTGATTTGCGCTAAAAAAACTAAGAAAGTTGTTTTTTTGCCAGCCAGAGACTTTGCCAGAGCAGTGGATAACAACACATTCAAATATGCTGTTATGTATGTATATTCACACGCATACAAACATAATGGCTTGCACAGTCGTCACAGAGCCGAAGCTGAGAGCAAATTCTCAAGCAAATTTCAAAAAGTCAAGCTGCATAGTAGCATTTTGTTGTATGGCGTTACTCATCTTAGTGTTTGTATTGTCTTTGGTTTCACTATGCTCCTCATATTTATGCAAAATCCTATTAAGATCGGACCACTATATCATATAGCTACCATAGGAACGATCGGTTGAAAACTAAGTTGTTGTATGAACAAACAATTTGTTTTTCAAGATATCTTGACCAAATTCGGCATTTATTAGTTTTTTTATGCTCCTCATATATAGGCAAAATACTATTAAGATCGGCCACCAATATCATATAGCTGCCATAGGAACGATCGGTCGAAAATTAAGTTGTATAAAAAAACATTTTGGTTCTCAAGATATCTTTTCTAAACTCGGCATTTATTAGTTTTACTATACTCCTCATATATAGGCAAATTAGTGGCGCCAAGTCACGTTCATACAGACAGACGGACGTTTTCAACCTTTTGACCATTTTCCCTCGTGCCGTTGTTCAGCGGACTGGCTGCACAGAAGGCATAGTAGAAAAAGGCCAATATTAGATAGTTTTTATTAAAGGGGGTTGGTCCATTGGGACAGTCTTCTTTTCTAAACTCGGCATATATTAGTTTTACTATACTCCTCATATATAGGCAAATTAGAGGCGCCAAGTCACATTCATACATACGGACAGACAGACGGACGTTTTCAATCTTTTAACCATTTACCCTCGTGCCGTTGTTCAGCGGACTGGCTGCACAGAAGGCATAGTATAACAAGGCCAATATTATATAGTTTTTATTAAAGGGGGTTGGTCCATTGGGACAGTCTTAAGTAAGATTAATATATTTATAAATTTTGTATATAGATAATGAAACTCGCAAGCTTTCTGTATCAGCAGTCTGGTGAGTAAGTTCTCTGTACATCCATTTTGTGTCCGATCATTTCTCAAGCTGCTTTCTTCTTATTCTTTTTAAGTTTCTTCGTCACTAATGTGAATGTTTCTTTTTCATGCTGGCCCTAACTGCAAGGCTCAAATTCAAGAACCGGGCGGTCGTGCGATAGCGAAATGGCGGGGCGTTGCCGTGTTCCTCCAAAATGTTGGGGCTGATTCTGCGATACCCTAAATGCAGTGAAAATGGGGAAAAGTTGGTTTTGAATCATAGTTTTGTGTAAATATATGTAACAGTAAGAAGGAAGCACCTCCGATACCATAAAGTATATACATTCTTGGCCAACATTAATAATCAAGTCGATCTCGTTTCAGTATGTTGAAGGTTGTTCAAGCCCTCTCAGTTTGTTTCCGATAGTCGGTAACATCCACAATTCCAAGCAATTGATATAAATCTATATTAAATTCCTGTTCTTTATGAATACCTCTTAAGCTTTAAATGCTATGCCACAATACAAAGATATACCAAACAGCCTTTGTATCGGATAACGATAAATCGCAACGAGGGAACCCCAAGGGTGCCTGCGACTATTTTAGTGTGCCCAGACAGAATAAGACTGCTGAGTGTGGCAGCCGCTGAGCGAGTTGCGGTTTTATACTGAACGTTCGGCTCTCGAGGCGGGCGTTCGGCTGCCACTCTCAGCAGTCCTACTCTGTATGGGCACACTAAAATAGTCACAGGTACCATTTAGGTTCCCTCGTTGCGATTTATGGTTATCCGATAACAAGGCTGTATGGTTAGTGGCTATGCTCAACAACCCCGTAAAATCAAACAAATAGAAGTTCCTATTGGAATCACACAATGTAAAACTAAATTTTAAGTCTATTGCCGTTTTAAAAATAGACGATTAGTCAATGCACAATAGGATCTAGTTCAGGAAGATCGAGTAAGAAACACAGCAGCTATAAACAAAACGTGTGGTTATATTGGTTAGCCGCTTGGAGGCCAACGCAAAAGTAGTTTCTGCATGCATGGTGTATTGTATTATAATATCCTTGCAGAGGGTATAATAATTTTGTCGTGAAATCTGTAACGCATAGAATGAGACATCTCCGACCCCATAAAGTATATATATTCTTTATCAGCATCAACAGCCGAGTCAGGTCCCTCTGTCCGTCTGTCTGTTTCTATGGGACCTCGTCTCTCAGATTTTAAGCTATCTTAATGAAACGTTGCAGAAGTCCTTTTTTTGTTGCACGCAGCACATATGTCAAAACCAGCTGGATCGGACCACTATATCATATAGCTGCCATAGGAACGATCGGTCGAAAATTAAGGTTTTTTATGAAAAAGCATTTTGTTCATCAAGATATCTTGACCAAACTCGGCATATACAGCTGTGAAAAAAATAATAGCACCACTACAACACATTTTGTTCTTGATGAAAAAAAAATGCGATTACTGTTCCGATTTTTGTGAAAATTTATTTTATTTTATATTGTTTAGTATTCCCCATAAATAAAAACAGTGTTAGCGTTCTTCAAATTTCTGTCTATATTTTCTTTTTGGGGGATTTTAAGAAAAAACCCAAAGCAGAAAAAAATAGCAGCATTAGCCACCTCCTAGCGAATCCTCGTTATATTGCGGAATTGCCTTTGCAGAATGAACGTACTTATTAGTTTTGACTAAGATATAATTTTTTCTATCATAAAAGTTAATAAAAATCATTACGATGGAACGTGGAGTGCACTGCACTGCATAGAAGCACGATCTTATCAAAAAATTGATATTGGACGGAAAAACTTACAGAGATGTTGGTCAATTTGTAGGATACTCCAATAAAATAATTAAAAACGTCATAAACTATCAAAACTAGAGTTTCTAGTCGGGAGCTCCCGACTAGGGGATACCCTGAACCCTCTTTTTCCAAATCAAATGCATATATATTCTATATTAGAAGCTAAATGTCAAGTTCGGTGACTCTAGTTCTTATTATTTACCAAAATTGTCCAAAAAACAGGATATCGATATCGATTTCTATCGATTGCTTGAAAACTGAGTAAAGTATCGATTATCGGAAATAAACTCGATCTGCGCGGGAACTAGGAGCACCTACATCATTTCAAGACAGAATAAGACTGCTGATAGTGGCTGCCGCTGAGCGACTTGCGGCTTCTTACTGAACGTTCGGCTTTCTGGGACGACGTTCGGCTCCCGACTATAACCTCTTGCTTGGTCATATATGTTGTTAAAAGCTATAATGCTATTTTCTCGCCTTCAATTTGCATTCTTTCATTTTTTAATATACTTTTCGGAGTAGTATACTATTTAAATAGAAAATCCTCGAGAATTACTATTTTTATACCCTTGAACCAATTGGTATAAGGGTATATTTTATTTGTGCAGCATCCAAATGTATGTAACAGGCAGAAGGAATTATCTCCGACCCCATAAAGTATATATATTCTTGATCAGCACTAATAGCCGATTCGATCTAACCATGTCTATCTGTCTGTCTGTCTGTCCGTATGTATGAACGCAAGGATTTCAGAACCTATAAGAGCTACAGAAATTTCGATGTAGGTGCTCCTAGTGCCTGCGCAGATCGAGTTTGTTTCCGATAATCGATAATTTACTCCGTTTCAAAGCAATCGATAAAAATCGATATCGCCATCCTGTTTTTTGGGCAATTTTGGTAAATAATAAGAACTAGAGTCACCAAACTTGACAAATAGCTTCTAAAATAGAATATATATATGCATTTGATGTTGGAAGAAGAGGGTTAAAGGTATCCCCTAGTCGGGAGCTCCAGACTAGAATCTCTTACTTGTTCAATTTGAGTTTCAGGAAAAAGTCGAAAAATGTAGAGTATGTTACCTAAGCCTAAACACTTCGCTGA